GGTGAGGGTGATGGCACGGACGAAGATGGCATATTGTGTCCACGGCCGCAGGTTGAGCAGGGCCACCCCCGGCTCCTGCTCACTGCTGAGTGGCAGCTCCACGTCCAGCACATTCCAGCTCTGTGCCCCGCAAGCATCCTGCCCCACGTACTCTGACACGTTCTGGAAAGGTCTGGCAACCACCCGGCCCCCAGGCATCAGCTGGGGCTCCCAGCAGACTCCAAGCCATCTCCTGGGGCCCAGCAGCCCCAGATGTGCTATGAGGATGCTGCAGGCTGGGGGACACGAGGATCACTTACGACTCCTTGTAGTAGACAATGAAGCTGAGGAGGTCTCGGTACTCAGGCGGCCGGTACCGCTCCCACTTGAGGAAGATGCGGTCGGACTCAGTGATGTTGGAGATGAAGCGCAGGGTTTGGGTTTTGCCTGGGGAGGAGTGCAAGGGCTCAGAGTCACGGTGCCACCGGGTCCCCCTCATTCCCATCCCCACACTCACAGGATGCCCGGTCCCCGTTGGTGCGCGGGTTGATCTCTGCCTTGTTCTGCCGCCCCTTGGTGCCCGTCACCTCCTCCATGTGGTAGATCTCAGCCAAGCAAAGCTTGGGGTTGAAGGCAAAATACATCTTGCCCACAGGGATAGAGAGGACGTGGTGGCTCCAGTCCCACAGCTGCTGCAGATTCTGATTGTCCAGGACATATAGGGTGTAATTCCTGGGGAAGAGGCAGATGGAGGTGATGGGCACAGGCACCCCACACCCAGGTGTCCTCAGCACATCCCGTCCTCACCCATCCACCATGGAGTCTCCGCGGATCAGCTTGAGGTTCTTGAAGAAGGACAAGGAGACAAGGGCGAAGGAGTGCTTGATCTTCAGGAAGCCCGTGATGGTCTCGATGAGGCCCAGGCTGCTCTGCAGCTCCGAGGCCAGATTATCTGGGAACATCCCATGGGTGTGAGTGTGGTGTGGCAATGGAGCTGGCACTCGGGACCACCCATTAATTCTTCCTCCAAGGGAAATCCCCCCCATGTCACCCTCCCAGCACTCACAGCCCCGGCGGATGTTGAGGATGAGGTTGCCCTCCACCAGAGTGCAGCCTGCCAGCTCCTGTGCCGCCCGCGTCGAGTCCACGGTCTTGGTGCCAACCTTGCATGCTTTGGGGCACAACCCCTCACACTTGTGGCAGAAGATGCTGCAGGGACAGGGACTGGGATGTAAGCCAGGCACGGAGCCCCCCCCCTCCACTGGAACCCCCCAAGGGCGGGGGTCCCCACCTGCTTTCATTCCTGGTGTAGCCGGGGGGGCACTCAGAGAGGCACTGCTGCTGGTGGATGACGAACTTGGAGGCGTCGCGTGGGTTGTCGGAGACCTTGCGCAGGCTGGCACAGTACTCGGCCGTGACGCAGCGCCAGCCCTCGTACTCGTAGGTGCGGGGTGGGCAGGAGGGCAGGCAGTGCCCGTTGAAGTGGAAGTGACGGCAGGCCACGCAGGAGCGGCTGTCACGGGGCCGCCCGCAGCCCCCCAGGCACTCAGCATGGCAGCACTCACCCGACGCCGTGCACGCCGAGCCCGCACCGCAGGGGCACACTGCGGGGAGGTGATGTCGGCAGTGGGAAAATTGCAGGGTTTGGGTGGGTAGGGGGCTGGTGGCAGACCGCTGGTGTGGGGAGCAAGGAGAGAGGCCAGATGGAGGGGCAGATGGAGGGATGAATGGATGAAGAAATGGATGGAGGGATGGGTGGGTGGGTGGGTGGATAGAGGGATGGGCGGATGGACAGTTGGATGGATGCAGGGATGGATGGATGGAGGGAGGGATGGGTAGGTGGAAGGGTGGATGGAGGGAGGGTTGGTTGGTTGGGTATACGGACAGAGCGATGGATGGAGGGATGCCCAGACACACGGGTGGATGGACAGGTGGTAGATGGACAGGTGGATGCACAGACAGCTGGATGAAGGGCTGCATGAACAGTCAGGACAGACGGGCAAATGGACAAATGGACGGGTGAGGCTCACCGCATGCCAAGCCCCAGCCACCCAGCGGAGCCACGTGGTGCAGCCAGTGCTGGGGCAGTGGCCGAGGTTACAGCCCAGATAAGGATCTGTGTTTATAGTATATATTTCATTACCAGGCCTCCTGTTTACTGCAAACGAGCCCGGGAGGGGCGTGTATTTACCTCACCGCCGGGAAAACATGGCAGCTGGGAGCTGGCCTCTCCTCCCGACATTGATACAGCGCGGATCCGATTACTCCACTGCGGCTCGCTCCCACGCAGGGACAGATGTACGCCCAGCTCTGCCCTCCCAGTGCCTCCCAGTGCCTCCCAGTGCTCCCCATCGGCTCCCAGCACTGGGATGAGCAGCCCCGCAGCACCTCACCCACCTTTCTGGCAGTAGCTGGAGGTCCAGCAGCGGTAATCCAACTGCCCATTGACAACGGTCTGCGCGCACGGCTTCTCCACATCCAGGATACCTGGGCAGACGTCGGCGCACTCCTCGGCCAGCTTGTTGCCCACAATGTAGCTGTTGTCCACGGTGTCGGGCAGCAGCAGCCCCCAGTCGATGGTGGAGAGGTGGCAGAGCTCCTGGTTGCGCTCGATGCGCACCGAGCCGCGCAGCACGTGGCTCAGGCTGTGCAGCCCGATCTCCCGCAGGTGCGGCATCTCGAAGATGACCAACGCGTAGTTGAAGAAGAGGTTGGTGCCACGGATGACCGAGAGGTTGGGGAAGAGGTCCCGCAGGCTCTCCAAGCCGTAGACACGGAAGAGCAGCAGGTACTCGGTGATCATCAGCAGGCGGGGGAAGCTGAGCCCGCGGAAGTCCTCGGCGCCCGTGGTGAACATCAGCAGGATCTGCAGGTTGCCCTCTATGATGGAGCAGTTCTCCAGCTTCTGCAGCTGCGACACGTCGTTGCGGATGTCCATGCTGCCGCAGACTGGGGTGGCAAGAAGGGGCCCGGGGGCAATGGGACGGCCCAGAGCATCCCGCCACCGCACAGGTGTCCCCCCCTGGATAGGGCCGCAGCGATGCGTGGCAGGGGTTAATGTCCTGCTCTGCCTGTCAGCTGCCTGCGGTCGCTGTGGGCAGCTGGGGCAGATGAGAGCAGCCGTGACAGGCAGCCGGCGCACCACAGCTCCTAGGGGGACAGCACGGCTGCTGTGATGCTAACGAGCTCTGGCTCTGCGGGAGCTTCCCAGGACCGTTTCATAGCCCTTTGCCAACCCCACGGAGGCTGCAGTCCCTGGGGTAACAGCAGTGAGCACACAACAGCCTCCCACCGAATCGCTGCCATCGACACTATGCAGAGATGGGGCTATGGGGTCACCATTCCAGGGGGTTTCTCACCCCAGTGGGGGCGGGCACTGTGAGGGGCACCGTGGGGCTGAGCATCTCCTGCTGTCTCTGCTCCCCTGCAGCAGCATCCCCAGCCTGAAACCTGACTCCTAGTTATTACAGAGAGAAACTCACTGATACTCAGAGAGGGATTTACTGTAAACACCGATAGCAAAGATGGCCAGCTCGGCGTGTACCCCAAACACACAAGCAGTGCTGGCACCATGGAATGGAGCTGGAGCACCCAGCAGTGTGTGGCAAGGCACTGATACACAGAGCCCCCCCGGCACCATGTGGTACCCTTGGGACACGGGGGTCTCCGTCCTGCTGTGGGGCTGAGGATGCAGTATCAGCTCTGAGAGTGCAGCCCTGTGCTGCCACAGCTGTGACCTTGGCAAAGTCACAGCTGTCCCTGTGCTCAGTGGGAGAACAAAAGGAGAGAGGGGACCAGGAACAACTTGGTCCCTATTGTGGGTAGAGAGAATTCTAGGGTCCCCTGTGCCCTCACGGGGGCAGAGACAGAGCAAGAAGCATTCCCAGGGCAACTCTCGGCATGAGTTTGGCTGCTTCATCCTCATTCCCCCTCCATTCTCCCCAGCCCCCTTGGGACTATCAATGGGGAAACTGAGGCAGCAGGCAGAGAAAGGACAGACACACAGTGACAAACCCAGGCATGTGGGTCCTCCTGTTCCCACCCTGCCAGCAGTGCTGGGACCCCACCAGGGACACCCCCACATAAGCCCCTGGGGCTTTTCCTGATCCGGGACAATCAGAACCCCGTGCCTGTCCCCCAGGTCGTATCCCCAGGCTAGAAGGTTTAAGCATCACTTTCCATCACTGCTGAGTGCAGTGGCTTCATGGAACCACTTCCCACAAAAGCAAGCGATGCCCTGACCCCAGCACAGGGCCCCCACCCCATTTCCTCCCCAGCTCCAAACCCCAAAGGTCACAGCCATGTTGGTGCTGCCAGGTGAGGATTGCGGCAGCGGGGGCATCGCATCAGAGGGGAAACTGAGGCAGCAAGCACAAAGCTTCACCTGGAGGCTCAGCCAAGAACCCCAAAACCCCAAAACCCATCCCCCTCACCCCGCTTCCCACCACTTACTTTCAGAGGGGGCCTGCACCGGGGGCAGCAGGAGGGGGCCGAGGAGCAGCAGGGCAAGCAGCAGCTGTAGGACCCCCAGTGCCCCCATCCCGTGGGGCCACGTCTCACTCCTGCCCGGTGCTGCTGCACCTCCGGCCCCGCACGCCGGGCACTCCTTGCCAGCACCGAGGCACGCCGGGAGCAGGGTGGCCCCGTGGCCCCTTCACTTTTGTTTTCGGCTGCCACACACAAAATATTTAGCCTGACAACTGTGCGGGGCCGGGCCAGGGCCAGGGCCAGGGCTTGTTTGGGAAATAGAGAGGGGAGAAAACAGGGCGGCCCTGAGTGCGGTGGGGCTGGAGAGGGTCAGGGGGTGTGAGATGCCCCCAGACCTTTGCGTTCCTCAGGATGATGCTCTGTGCTTTGCTTTCTGCAGGTGTGGGTATTGTGGGGAGGATTCGAGGGCACAGCGACATCCAGGGAGACCCAGAGAGGGGTCAATCCCAGGGGACAACGGAGCAAAGAGGAGGAAGAGGAAGAGGAGGAGGATGAGGAGGGGGAAGAAGCTGCTCCACTCAGCACCCAAGATATGAGGATCGGGGCACATTTATTTCTCGAATTAGAGCCAAGGGAAGGGCAGAGCCCTCAGGTGAGGGTGTACCTGGGGAGCACAGCAGTGCCCCTGGCTCTGCCCCGGTGACCCTCAGCACAGCAGCACTGCGAGCAGCAGCTCCAGCACCCAGGTGCTCACATCTGCTGGGGGTGAAGGGGGGTCCAGAGGTCCCTCTCGTGGGATTGCCCCATTCTGCTGTCCCCACCCTGGATGGGAGCTCAGGAGCAGCTGCTCCTACGCCGACGGAGCAGCGTCACGGGGCGGCTGCCTTCCTCCTCCTGGTCGCTCTCACAGCAGCGCTGGGGGCACAGAAGGGCACAGAGGGGCTGAAGGACAGGGGCAAGACCATGGGCCTGCCCAGGGAGGGGCACTCCATGGCACAGCCCCTCAGAATCCATTATGTACCCCCAGCATCTCACCAGCTCCTCGCCCTCCGTCCCGGGGCTGCAGAGCAGCCGCATGCGGCACAGCCGGTTGCAGGCAGACACCATGTTGTAGGAGAGCTGGGGGAGCAGCAAGGCAGGGGTCTGTGCAGGGAGCTCCTCCCCTCCACTCCCACCACCCCTGTACTGGAGCACAGACCCCACCACGGCCTCCTGCCCAAATGCACCCAGCCCTGGGGTGGAGCACGATGGCTTCACGCAAGCACCCAAAGGCGGTGGGACCCCGCATCCTGCCGTCCCCATCCCTCACCCCCTTATCCCTCCCTTTCACCTTCCACTTCCTCCGGGCGTTGAACTTGCGGAAGTTTTTCATGTTGATGGAGGAGCGGCACCGTTTTGCTGCCTGTTTCCTGTTCAGGGGCTGGAGGGATGAAGCTGTGGCATCATTGCTGCACCCCCTCCCCACTCCCTCAGCACACGGCAGCCAGGGGAGCCCAGCTATGTTCCCCCCTTCTATCTCACCTTAATCCAGGGGTGCACGAGGCACTCAGATGCAGTCATTCGCTCCCTGCAACAGAGAGGACTGTGATGGCAGGGGTCCGGGGACCCCCAGGGATGGGGACAGAGACCCCCAGGGACTGGGAGAGAGACAGGGATGGCACTCACTGAGGCTCCTTCACCAACAGCTGTCGGATGAAGTCCTTGGCCATCTCAGAGGTGTCACTGAAGTAGCGCTCCTCGAACTCATAGGCGCCCTCCAGGACGTTGGAGAGGGTCTCAGCATCTGTCTCACCCTGGAAGGGGGACAAGCCGCTGAGCCTGCGGGGACACCAGGGAGCGTGAGCACCGGAGATGGACCTGCCACGCTGCCCCCTGTGCCTCAGTTTCCCCCAGCTGCATTTTCCCCTCGTCACTACTCACAGGATGTAAGTGATAACCCCGATGCTCCTGAAAGACAGAGGATGGGGGTCAGGACTGTCCTCCGGGGCTCCCTACAGTGGCACCGTGGGTCCCCCTGAGACCCCTGTCCCTCTCCTCACCACATGTCGGTGGCGGAGCTCAGTGGTTCGTAGTTGATCACTTCAGGAGCTAGGGGTGAAGGAAAAGCAGGGGGGGGCATGTCAGGTGGGAGCACCACATGGGCACCCCGATATGTCCCCATCATGCAGGTCCCCCTCCCGCTGCCCCCCCAGCCCAGCTGGGAGCTCCATACCAATGTACTGGGGGGTCCCACAGAGGCTCTTGAAGGTGACACCATCCTCCAGCTTCTGGGCCAGGCCGAAGTCGATGATCTTGATTTGGGGCTTAGGCACATCCTTCTCCTGCAGCATGATGTTCTCAGGCTGCATGGGGGTGGGTGAGGGACAATAAAATACCCCAGAGCCACCCCCAGGTAGGATGCAGCCATAGGGTGGGGGGACACCCCGGGTCAGCCAGGGACCTGCATGGGCACCTTGAGGTCAAAGTGGGCGATGTGGCGCCCATGAAGGTACTGCACCCCAAGCAGGATCTGCTCCAGGAACTCGATGGCCTCCTCCTCCAACAGCATCTCCTTCTCCGCAATGAAGTCAAAGAGTTCCCCACCACGCATCCTGCAGGGCAGGGCAACGCTGGGGGGGTTCTGGGGGGAGCACAACACCAGTATCCCCCCCCCAACCCCAGGACCCCGCTCACAGCTCCAGCACCAGCACCATCTCAGCTCTGCATGTGAAGAGGTCGTGCAGCTGCATGATGTTAGGGTGCTGCAGGTCCCGCAGGATGGCCACCTCCCGCTCCACCTGCAACCTCTCCAGACCCCGCCGGCTGCCCCGGCACCGCCGCGTCTTCACAAATTTGGCAGCATAGAAAGTGCCGGTGCTGCGCTCCCGGCACCGCTTCACCACTCCGAAGTGCCCACTGCGAGGGAACCCAGGGCATGGGTGGGGATGGGGAGGGGGGCACGGCTGAGGCATCACTACTCCGCACACCCCACACCACCCTACTCACCTGCCCAGGGTCTCCAGCAGCTCATACAGCTCCTCCACACTGTGCGCACACAGGGCGACCGCCTGCAGGAGTGCACAGACCTGGCTTAGCCCAAGGGGGGGCACCCAAACAAAGTCTCCCACGGGCGGCACCACGTCCCCCTGGTTCGTGCTGCAGGGGGTTCACCGGTGTCTCCTGCTCCTCCTCCCCCAGTTTGCACCCCCAGCACCCCTCCCGTTGCTCTCACCTGGGGGCTGTCGGAGGCAGCCCCTCCATCCTCAGCCATGGCTGCAAAGATAAATAGAGGGGATGGGAGGGGGGCAGCAGGACCAAGAAGAGCCTCCCCAAAACTCACCACACCGATGGCGCAGCTCTCAATCAAAGAGAGAAACGGAGGCAGGGCGTGTGGCCGAGTGTGCAGTGCTGAGGGGTGGCACCCAATACAAGAGACAGGGTCCCCCTCCAGCAGGAAAAAACACCTCGATAAGGAAACACAACGAGGGAGCACGGGAGCTGGTGGCTTTGTGCACGGTTGTCCCCATCGACGGCCAAGCAGAGCTGTCTCCAGCCCAGATCCTCACCCCGAGCCTTCCCCCCTCCACGCTCTGCTCGCTCCCAGCCCCGCTGGACGGCCGCTCTGCACACTGACAGCCCTGTGCCACCCCCGGGCAGCGCGGGCACCCCGCCAGGCACTGCACAGCCTCGGATCCACGTAGGCTGGAGCCCGGTGACCGTCCCCAGCATGTGACAGAGGCAGCTTTTGTGGTGACAACGGCACCGTTGTCCCCAAGGCAATGCTGTCCCCCCTGCAAGGCGATGCTGTGCATCCCAGCACCCCTACCTCTGCTCTCAGCTCCGGCGGTGGGGATGAAGACCCTTCGTGGGACGGAGCCGCACTCTGCTCCGTGCCACTGCTGCGCTCCGCTTTCCTCGAAGCTGCTGTGATTCCTGGGATCCGCTGGGCAGCGGCTCAGGGAAAAACAGCAGGAAACGCCAAGAGCTGCTCGTCTGCTTCCAAGGTCTCGTGAGAAATCCCCCCACGCTGTCCCCGCCCGGACAGCTGCAAAGGGGCTGGGAGCTGGGAGAGGCCTTGTAGGGTCACATCCTCGAAGAGCAGCTCTGGGGCCGTGGCTGCTCGGTCCGCAGCCGTGAGCGCCAGGGCTGCAAACAGGAAACCTGCCTGACCACCGATAGAAATAGTGCAACCCGGCTGCCCGGAGGGGAAACGGTGCAGGGTGTGAGGGCAGGGAGGAGGAACAGGTTTCTTAAGGTGGAGAGAGCCGGGGGGCACCGCGCCGCGGGGCTGGGGGTGTTCTGTGCCCACCACAGGTGTGCAAAGCTCCGGTGCAGGGCTGCAGCCTGGCTCCAGCACGGCCACGGGTTGGGCTCCGTGCAAGAAACAGGGGTGCAGATGGGACAAAGAGTTTTGTGGGTGCAAGAAGAAGGGAACCCAGCCAGCCCTGCACCCCCAACTGCAGCACACCTTGTTGGCACAGCAAGCACCAGGTGCACCCCATGCACCCAGGTAACTCTTGCACGGCTTTACGGCCATCAGCAGCTGAACGTGCTGAGGGTGAAGGGAAAGAGGGCAAAGAGGTGCTCCCACGGTGCCACCCGCAGCCCCCGCCGTTGTTCCGTGACGTGGCCCCGGCGTGCAGCTCGCTGCTTCCTGCCCATCACCGTGCTGAGTGCAGCACCAGCGCTGCCCACCCACGGCCCCCGGGTCCTGGTGGAGGTAGGGGTGAGGGCTGGGAGTGGGCAGGGGGCATCCCGGGGGTCCGTGCGTTGAGTTGGGAGCAAAAAGGTTGGGAAGCAAAGACTGGAACAGGGGCATGGAGGGGTTGTTGCCATGATGGATGGCAATGGAGGACATCACATGTGGGGTGCAGGACTTGGTGCTCAGCTCCTTGCTGTGGTTTTGGTGGGCCTTTGCTGCTCCTTTTAGTGCCTTTTTGGATGGGGGACCATTTTGGGTGCACGCAGCTCCCAGGTCCTCTCAGTGCTGTGTTAAGTTCCCAGTCTCGGCCTTCCAGAACCCCAGTTTGGACGGGCTCGGTCCAGTCCCAGTGACTCAGAGCTGGTGACACAGCGTGGCCGTTTCCACCCCCTCGAGCATCTGCTCAGGATTAACTTTGGCCGAGTGTTGGCGGGACTCAGATGAGCCCTGCATGCACGCAGAGCCGCTGACACACACAGGGTTGGTTCTTCCCAGAGCTTCGGGTTCCCAGCAGCGCCGGGAGGGTGACCAGGAAGAAACAGGGCGAGGAGCAGTACACTATGGGGCAGTATGGGGGGCTGCTGGGACCCTCAGCCCACTCCTTTCTGTAACCCGAGGACAGGTGGCTCCATGGATGACACCCAACCCCTCTTCATCACCTTCAAATTCATCGCTGGAAACAAGGCAGGCAGCATCCAGCCAGGACAAGGCACGACCCTGCTGCAGCCCCAGAGTGTGGAGCAGTGTGATGCACAGGGCAGGAGGGGAGGGGGGGCAGCAGAGGGCCCCCAGCCCCAGCCGCCCCTCGTTCCCTGCCACGTGCTGCAGGGCTGCTCCCAGCCCAAAGAAGTTGCAGCATCTCTGCGGGCACGCACCAAGCTGTGGTTTGAGCAGACACAAGTGCATCGGCTGGGGGCCACGGGCAATCTGCCAGCCTGGTTCCACGGCTTCATCAGTCGCAGGTGAGCAAGGAGTCCCAGGGGTGGTCCTGCACATCCACGGGCTGCTCCCGCAGGTGGGTGAAGCCCTGGGATCCATTCCTGCAGGGACACAGAACAGATGCTGCAGGATGAGCCGCTGGGCTGCTTCCTGGTGCGCTTCAGTGAGAGCACGGTGGGCTTCGTGCTGTCCTACAGGTGAGGGAGCCCAGCCCAGGGGTACGGACACGCTCAACCCCACGCTGTGCCACCACCGACCCCTCTGTCCTCCCCTGCAGGGGCAGAGAGCGCTGCCGGCACTTTGTGCTGGACCAGCTGCCCAATGGGCACTACGTGATCCTGGGTGAGCACAGTGCCCACCCCGAGCTGGCTGAGCTGCTGCAGCACTACACCCACGTTCCCATCCCACCCTATGGTGAGCTGTTGACCGTGCCACGGGGACAGGTAAGCACGCCTTCTCATTGCAGCAATTAGCTGCTTTGTTAGCTCCAGCAGGATGTGGGAGGAGAAGCAGCTTTCTTGCTTCACTGGGGCTGCTTTCTCCAGGGAAATCAAGGAATCCAGGCCAGAGAAGTCAAAGCTTCACAGCTGGGGTTGGCACCTCAGTGCCACCTCTACCCTGAGGGCCCAACATCACAGCTGGGCCACTCCTGGCCTCGTGACTGCCTTCCTTTCACCCTTTGCTCTTTGCAGGACAAGGCCTGTGGAGTGATGCGCACCCCAGATAGCAGCTCCACATCCTGCAAGGCACCAGCAAACCACCCAGTGTACAGCACCATGGCCAAGCGGGTGCCAGGAGATGGGCAGGCAGCAGAGAGTGGCCCTGAGGAGGTAAAGGCAGGGCCTGGGGCACAGAGGTGCTTTCCAGGGCAGCCTGGACATTGCACATGTGAGAGGAAGGAAGAGAGCTGATGGGGTAGGAATGCAGCCAGTCCATGAGGATGCAGCTGGGGTAGGGATACTGGTGATCCATGGGGATGCAGCTGGGGTAGGGATGCTGATTGTCCATGAGATGGGATGGGGATGCAGCTGGTCCGATGGGACCAGGCCCTTCCCCACACTGCCCCCAGCATTCCCTCCCTCTCCAGGCCCCCAGCATCCCTCTGCCACTCCCTGCCAAGGTCAGCTCCTCGGAGGCCACCCAGGGACCACGCAGCCGCACCGGCAGTGAAGGAGCAGAAGCCAGCAGCCCCTCCACACAGACACACCTCGAAGCCAACCCCGTTGAGATGCTTGATGCCAAGTACCAGCAGCTCGTGCGCTTCCACACCTACGCAGAGCCCCACGAGGGCACTGCCCTGCCTGTGGAGCCCATTCCTTTCTATGCCATGGGCTGGGGCTCCAGCCCCAGCCCTGAGACTAACATCTATGCAGAGGTGGCCATAGTCCAGCGGGAGCCACCCCCCCGGGGGGCACGGGGCCCTGGATCCCTGCTGGCCCCCACCACATTTCTGCGCCGGCGGTTGTCCCGCAGCCTCTCCAGCCAGGGCTTCCACAGAAGGCAGCTGCCAGCGACTCCCACTGCAGGCACCATGCAGAGAGCAGCTCCCCGGCCGGCCCCAGAGGTGTGTTTCCATGCATCTGCCACAGGGCACAAGCTCTGGTGCAGGACCAAGCTCTCCAGCCCAGCCCTCACCCAGCACCAAGTCACCATCTCACCAGTTTCCCTTCCCGCAGATTCCCCTGGCCCCAGTGAACTCAGCACTGGAGTTTGATGACCCTGTGTACAGCCCAAGGACGAGCAGCACCAAGCAAGCCGCAGCCCCAGAGAACGTTTACGAGCAGGTTTCTAGAGGCCACCCCTAAGGCATATAGGTAGGGCCATGGCAATGCCCAGCCTCTTGCTGGCACAAGGTCTGCCTGCTCGGCTCTTGCAGGGCAGAGGGAGACCCCTGGACCTTGGAGGCAATCCCAAGCATACCAGCAGCATCCATCAGCTCTGCGTTGGGATTCACACGCCTTTCCTGGCACAGCTGCCTGCTTCCCAAACCCTGTGCAAAGGGGATGAGGAAGAACGGATTTAATTTATCTTCACAGAAAGAGATTGCTATGAATAGAATCAGGGTGGAGGAAAAGGCTATTAGAGCAGAACCAGATGGGTTTCGGGCAGGGCTGGTGCCATCCATGCAGCATTCGCTGGCTGCTCAAACAAGCCTGGTCCTGCCAACACATGCCTTGAGCTCTGTCTGCTTGCTCAGCCACCAAGCACAGAGCAGCACCAAACCCCAGAACAGAAGATGAGGATGACACCGAGCCAGCGCTGCCCCATTGCACAACCCCAATTCCTTGCTCTGCCCCCCAGTGTGCAGTGACACTGAGTGTGGTTCTCATCAGTTCTGGTGCACACAGCCACAACAGAAGGGAAAAGCATGTGAGAGCAACCAGAAACCTAAATTTGGATGCAGTGGAGCTTCATAAGGAGGACTGAAAAGGAGAACAGAGGTTTATGCTTCTACCTCTAAGAAAATCACTTCCGTTTTTCTCAAGCCTTCGTGTTGTTGCTCATAAATGGCTAAAAGCAGAGCAAAAGTCAGCAGTGATTGCCATCCTCCTAAGTCCCCTCTAGTGTTAAAAATGAGCAATTGCATATTGAAAAGGCAAAAATAAACACGAGGATCTGAATGCTGCCTTCAGCCCCTGGGAGGGATTGGCAGAACGAAGCCAGAGGAGCTCAGACCCACGAAACTGCAGTGAGGAGAAGCCCTCCAGGTGCTGCTGCCCCACATTCAGGACAGCTGACCCTCACTGCACACACAGCAGAGGGCAATGAACCCAACAACAAATTGGGCAGCACAGCAGAACCCAACCCACGATCCTCACCTTGTGCCTCACACTGCAAACAGCTGTGGTTCGGTTCATTTAAAAGTTTATTCCTTTATCAAATCTCTTGTCAGAGGATTTCACTGTACATATAAGATATGAATAAATTACTCAACAGTAACTTTATTTTGGTCATTCGGATACTCAAACTTGGCTCTGCAAAGTACTAAAACATCCAGGAAACTAAACTAGAAGTTACATTTCTTCTTTTAAATATTCTAAGAAACAAATTCTTTCATTGGGGTTTGTTTTCTTGGCTCCTTTTCAACAGGCAATGGGAGAAAAACAACCTCATGGATTTTTTTTTTCCTAAATGGAGTAACCACTATTAGCTGTTTTAGCTGCAGTTACAACAAATGCAACCCTTAGTGTTGGGAATGTGAGTTAAAGAACCAGACCAGCTCCCTGCTCCCTTCAGCATCGCACAGTGGTGAACAATGAGCTAAGAGAGGTCACAGAGATTTGGCTAAAGATGCATGGGTTGGGCTGGTGAGGTTGCACATGATTTGCAGTCACACCATCTAGACCTAATACCGTAAATCAATTTAATTTTTAGAAAGTTAAGGCTGGACACTGTCTCCTCTTCCCAGCCCAGGGGGTAATGTTAACACTAAAACAGATGTGATACCTTTATAGGAAACGAAATTCATATAAACAAGCTAAAAAGCCGAAAAATAAATGTACAGCAGGCA